GTCCGATTCTTCAACTTTATCCTCCAGTGTTGATATTCTGTTTTCCATTTCATTCATTCTAGTGGTGAGGCTTTCTCCTGTCGTTTTTAATTGGCTTATGGAGTGTTTCACTTCCTTCTTTATTTCAGCCTGAGTATTCTTCAATATTTCTAGCTCTTTTCTGAATTCATTCAGAGGAGTCTGGTGGGGACATAGTGTTTTGGCTTTCCATTTTATTATTCTTTCATTGTGATTTTTGGCATGTGAATTTCTTTTGTTGTTTATGATTCTGATATGAGAATTAAATTATGCTTCTGTCTGTATTATCTGGTGCCTAGATCCTTTCTTGATTGGTTATGTAAAGCGGGTTGGTACAGATTTCAGGTTCTCTCGAGTTTTATTTTGAAAGAAACTGATGGCTTCAGATCAGCTCTTTAGGAGCACCCACAGCAGCCCATGTCAGGTTCCAGTCAGGTACACTAGGGCTTCTTTCTAAGGTTTGGACCCCTGTTAGCAGAAACTCAGAGAAGATTTGGGAAATTCCCTAAGCCGGTGGTGGGGGGCAATTTTGGGACTCTCAGTTGGTCTGCTGTGTTCTCGGCACCTATGCCAGAAGAGGCCGGGATCTGGCACTCTCTGTAGGTGTGCTGAGATCACAGCTGCTACTCTGATGGAGGTTGGAGCCCACCCTCTCCGGCTGTCTACTGTGATCTCAGCTTTAGCCTACCAAAGCCAGATCTACCCTGGGGCCTTTGGAGGGGCCTCACAAAATCCTAGGAAGTGGGATGGGTGTGGCACAATTAGAGGTAGCTCACCACCACATGGAGGCAGAATTTGGGTGCTCTCAGGCAGTCCCCTGCGTTCTCAGCCCTTATACCAGAGGGAGGCCAGAACCTGGCACTCTCTGGTTATGTGCTTACATTACAGCCGTTACACAGATGGGGGTCAGAGCCTACCCTCTCAGGCTGTCTGCTATGATCTCAGCCTTCGAGACCTTTTTTTTATTTAATCTGAAAGCCTGCCTTCAGTGGGTAGGGTGAGACCCGTGTGATAGGACCTCAGTCCCTCTTTCCCTCTGCTGAAGCAACCTTGGAAGTATTATCATGTCCAAGATTTTCCTCTATTTTATGACCACCAAATAGCAAAAGCAAGCCATGACACATCTTGTAGTTTCTATGTGGTCTTTGCCTAGAATTCTGCCAGAGTTCCTGACAGCAGCTGCTTGGTCCTCACGGTGTCCTTCTGAGGCCGCCACAGCTCACTAAGAATTCTGAATGCCCAAATTCATCCTTAAGATAGTTCCACCCAGTGTACTCAACTGTATATTAAAATGAAAGAGAATTGTATTTGTAATTTTGTTTACCTGACTTATTAACTCAATCTTATTTCACTTTTCTGTGCATATTGTTCAAATAGAAAGGGAAGTTAATTATAATTTGACTTATTATTTGCAATATTATTGAAAGTTACTTATTTTCTTCTCATAATAGTCTTTTAAAATTAATAATTGTGGGGAGCCATGGGAGGATTAAGATGTTCTGTATGAAATATACAAGTATTCTGTAAAAAATTTACAAAAATTTTGGGGCTAGAGAGATGGCTCAGCGGTTAAGAACACTGATTGTTGTTGCAGAAGTCCTGAGTTCGAATCCCAGCACCCACATGGCAGCTAACAACTGTCCGTAACTCCAGTTCCAGGGGATCCGACATCCTCTTCTGTCCTCCGCAGGCATTGACCAACACAGGTGCACTTATCTACACACAGAAAATACACACATACACATAAAATAAAAATAATAAATAAAATATGAAAACAATTTACAATTTTTTTAAAAATTAATAATTGTTTAATTTAGCATTATTATAATTTTTACTCTTGTTTGACAATTGGGAAAATAGAAGAAAGGTTCTAGTTTATTGTCTTACTCTAACATACAAAAATGTTTTATGCACAGCATATTTTTTACAAAAATATTGAGAGGATTACATTTACAAAAGGATATTTATATCAACAGTTTTTAAATTCTGTGTGTATATTGTAAAATGCCACTATACTTTTAAATAACTTTAATTGCAAGCTTTTTCATAAATGCAAATTATACTTGATTACATTTGAACGTCATTTTCCAAAACAGCAGGGCTAGAACTCTGAACTTGGGAGATAATAAAAGTGACTTAGATGTAGCCTGAATGAAGGCAGCCTGGTGATCAATGTGTGTTTGGGTTATAGTCTTTTTCATAGATTTTGCAGAATGACTTTTGAGTTGTGGGTTCATGACTGACAAATGTTAAGACGTGCAAAGTACAGGTTTATTTGAATTGAATCAGCACGAAACTTCCCCTCATAACTTTTTTTTTCCTGTTGAATAAAGGAGCCCCTGAGCTTTTGTTCACATTATTCCTCCTCCTTGGGTGCCCCATGCTGCTCCATCTGTCAACTGACTCTTGTCTCTGATGCCTCCTTTGGACTCTGAGTCCATACTGTGGTGTCCTTACACATGCACAAACTTCCTGGTTAAAATAGTAAGACCTCGTTTTGCTGAATACTATGCTCAAGGGGAGATAGTGTCATAATTCCTCAATGTTTATGCATTATGCTGTGTTTATTATATGCCTACATAAGACCTCAGTTTATTTGGTCCAGTTATTTTGTCTTAGGTACAAGGAAAATAGTTCTGAAGAGGCTAAAGTAGTTCCTGCTAAGGATATGGCTATTGTTATGGCTAAAACCAGAACTAGAAGGTAGCTGACTTGATTTACAGTAGCGTTTGGTTTCCACTCTCCCTTCCATCTTGCATCTTTCACTGGGCAGGTATTTAGTGAGGATCTACCAAGTGTCAGGGACCCTGGTAGCCTGTGATTCTGCAGTGCTGAGCCTGTCTAGAGCTTTATGCTCCTATACTAACCACACTATATAGCTGAGAAAGTAGGTAGAGATTACCTCGAGAAGCTACCACCTATAGGTATTGCATTTATATGCACTTTTAAATGCAATTAAACTGAACAAATGTATGTATGTTCACTCTGTGCTGAGCCCCCAAAGAAATGAGAATTTTGCAGTTAGAGCTCCTTCCATCAAGATTTATTCTAAAAATGTGATAAATTAAGGCATAATTATTTACACAGAGCAAAATGTTGAAGGCCTATAGTTCAAGGGACATCAAGGTCACATTTTTTCAGAGAGGAGAATAAGGACCCTCTTTTTAAGAGGGTTCAGAGGTTTAAGAGGGAAGGCATTCTAGATGGGAGGATTCAACTCAGCAAGAACTACGATTGAGGTAGAATCCATCTGGTTTAGGATTCAGGTGCAAGACTTCAGGCTAGTCAGAGTGGTAGTAGTAAACAAGGCAGATTGCCTAGAGTGAGAACAATATGAAAGGCAACTCCAGGAATCGGTTTTCCACAATTGGGAGACAGACTAGAGCTAACTAAGCCTTTTCAGTGAAAAGATCCAATCGTCTTGGTCAGAGCTGACTACTAACAAATGGGATTTAAGTCTTAAGTGCCTTGAATTTAAGTCACTTAAGTCAATCTAGTCTATTGAAAAGGGGCCTTCTCACTTAAAGACAGAGATCTAGACAGTACATAACATGGATTAAACTTATTAACATTGTTTATGCCTAATACTAGATAGAAGGAGTAATTTGACCATGATGCAATCATGATAGCATTCACTAACCTTGTTTAGAAATTCTTCTGCACAAAATCAGGATTGTCTCAGTAATTATCAGCCATCTGCCTCCAATTTCCAAGTTAATTAGTTATTATATTTGTGTTTATTTGCATATTTATAAGTATGTCTAATTTACATATCTATCACATTTGGTAAAACTTAATTTGATTACAATTATTAAATAGTAGTATAGTCTCAGTACTTTGAGAATAAATGAAATCTTGTTCATAAAACATAAAACATTTTTTTTTGGCTGGAAATATGGCTCGGTGGTTAAGAACACTGGTTGTTCTTGCAGAAGACCCGTGTTCAAATCCCAGCACCCACATGGCAGGTAACAACTGTCTGTAACTCCAGTTCCAGGGAATCCGATGGCTTCTTTTGTCCTCCATGGGCATTGCATGACACGGTGCACTTACCTACATGCAGGCAATACACTCATACACATAAAATAAAAATAATAAATATTTTTAATAAAACATAAAATATTTTTAATATTGTTGAAAATATTTAAATATTTCTTTTTCCTGCTAAGTATACTATATTGAAAATAGCAGAGCCCTATGTTATTGCTAGAAAATGGAATATAGTCCTCAACTTGATAATGCAGACATGAAGGACATAAATATTTTGGAACCTGAGGTATGCAGAAGTGAAGGAAGAATTATTATGGTTCAAAACAAGTTTGTTTTTGTTTTTGTTTTCTTTGTTTTTGAAGTAGGATCTCCCTGTAGCCACAGCTGGCCTGGAATTCATTATGTAGACCAGGCTGATCCCAGTCTCACTGAGATCCTTTGTCTCTGCCTCCTGAGTACTGGGGTTAAAGGATGCACTGCCACACTCAGCTCCAAAACAAATTTTTAATTATTCTTCTGTTGGCTTTATATCCTATCTTGAGAGTAAACTATAAGGACCAATCTTAGTTGAGGATTCTGAGTTTCTGCTAATAACAGTTCTCATGAGCTAAGGACAGAATATGTATGATTATAAGAAGCTGTCAGTGTTGAGGAGATGGTTAATATCAACTGTTCTAGGATTGTGATAATCAGCTAGCACAATGGTATCTACAGCAGGACATTCCCATGTCCTGATGAAAGAGCTGAACTCCACTTACCTCTTGTTCCCTATAATCAGCTTTAGCCTCAGATTTCCTCTAGAGGGGATGATTTTGAGTAAGGTTCTCTCTAAGAAAAATAAAAGATAAGAAGATACGTTATTATAAATCAGTTTGAAAATCAGCCTGTGAAGATATTACCTGAATTGTGTACAATATAAAGTACAAACCAAAGAATTTATAAAGCAATGCAAAGAATATTAAAACTGTTGCTATTTTTAAATTTTTAAACAGGCTCATGCACAATTAGTTCGAGAGGTTGACGTGGAAAAGGTGTCTGCTTTTGAGAATCCATATGTAGATGCCATAAAGAGCCTGTGGAATGATCCTGGAATCCAGGAATGTTACGATAGACGACGAGAATATCAGTTATCTGACTCTACCAAATAGTAAGTATCCAGCAGGAGGCCCTTGAGGTCTTGCTTGTTGCTTTACTTTCATGAAAATATGTTCTGATTTTTTATGACTACCTATGCTGTGCATATAGTAATCAAACCTAGGAAGTGTAGACACTAAACTTATATTTAAGTGTCAAACTCCTAAGTCTAGACTATATCATAAGAGACTAAGGTTATAAATCTTAATGGTCTCACTGTAGCCCAGGCTGGCTTTGAACTCCTGAATTACAGGCATGCATCACCATGACAGGTTTAAGGTTGCTGAGGGTCAAACCTAGAACTTCAAGCAAGCTAGGCAAGTACTCTACCAACTGAGCTACGCCCCAGCTCCAAGAGTGTTTCTTTTACTGCTTAAAAATAGAAGACCTTAGTAGTCTGATTTTTATCATCTTGTTTCCTCCCTCAAATTGCCAGCCAGTGATTCCCAAATCTTCGCACCATTGTGACTTGAAATCTTGTAATAATTTTTTTAATAAAAATTCTGATCTTACTCTAGATGACAAAACACCTGCATAGATTAGAAATGGCAAATAAAAATGTGTTTGGCTATGGCTTGGCAAAACATAAGACTGTAGTTTCCTGTTTGGATCATTGTCTACTTTCTAAAAGCCACTCTTAAGGCCGGCAGGTGGGTTTTCTTTTCCATGAACACTGTGTGTGTGTATAATTTTGCATGCATTCCAGAATTATTCTGTGAACTGCCTGGCAAGCTCATGTGTCTTGGGAAAGATTGTACCCAAGAGTGATTTGTTCATTCTCCATATAAAAACTTATGTGATCAGTCATGGTATTAATATAATCAATATAGTAATACATGTAGATAATCAAGATCGAAAAAAAATGTGGGGTTTTTGTTGTTACTGTTGTTGTTTTGGAATGTTTTATTATCTAGCCAGATTTCCATCTACAAGAACTATGTTAATCTGCCATTCCTGTCTTGTTTTGATTCTGGGTAGACAGGGGGAGAAAGTATTCCACAGCCTTAAACCAGTCCCTGAGATAAAGTGACCCCGGGATAAGAGTAGGGCCTAAGGTGATAGGAGCCCGAAGGGCTGGCTGATTCATCAATCACTGATTGATAGTTGGAAAGCTCAACAGTTCTGCATTGTTTTTACAATACTTATGCTTTTGCCTTCCCAGGCATTTGTGCAAGATAAACTGTGATTCAGGTCAGCCATAGAAATGCTGCTTGGATAAAATCTTTTTCTATTAACTGCTAACTTTGAGTTCATGTAATCCTGGACCGTGACAGAAAGCATTCCATCTATCCTGTTTTAACATATACTCCCACATGTGTGGTTGTTAGGCAGATACACTGCACCCCCCCGTCCTCCTGCTCCCCTCTTCCACGGCATCACTCCTGTTCCAGTCTTCATCTTCTATTTTGTGCTGACCTTTCCTCGCCCCTCCCACCTGCCCTCCTCCCTCTTCTTTCCTTCCATCCTCCCTCCTAGCTCCTACTTTGTTTCTGTGGGTACATAGATGGAAAAGATACATTCATTTCTTGTCTATTCCAAATTCTGCCTCCTCTACCTTTGACCAGCTGTCTTTTACTTCCTGCCTCCTCTGTCCTTCTGTTTCCGTTGCCATTTCAGATTTCATCAATGTCCCCATGTTGCTGTTGTTTGATCCGCCCTCCCCTGTTCCTGTTCATTATGTCTTCTCTGAGCTTGCTCACCCCTCCAGACCTCATTCCTCATTCCTTTGCTTCTCCCTCAACTCCCTTCCACCCCTCACTTTTCTAGCATGATGCCTTTACTAAGTAATGCCTCTATCATTCTTTCTTTTTTTATTCTTCAGTACTAGAGGTAGAACCTAGGGACTTCTCCATGTGAAGCAAGCACTCTACCACTGAACTACAGCCCAAACTGACATGTCTGTCAATGCTTATTTTATTTTATATCTTGTCTCCTCCCTTTGTGCCTCTTCTTAACATATCATCTATAATTACTCTGCCTATAAAGAGGTCTTGATAACAGGAAGTCAGAGCTCCAGTGTCTAATAATTGTGTGCCCAACCAGGGTTAGGTTCCCCATGAACAACCAATTTGCCTTCTGTCCTGAGGTAAACCTCCGAGACATTCTGTTTACATTGGAGCCATTGACATCCATGGACGTGCTGTTGAGAGAAGCCTCAGTCACCTGTCATGATATTTTCCAAATGAGATTTGTGGATTTTGAGACATGTATGTTGCCTTACTTGATGGGGAATTTGGGTGCTACTATAAATGCTTGTTTTCGGGCCAAGAGCTATCCTGGGCAATTTCTTCAACCTTAGAAAGCCACCACTTTAAAATTCCGCCATAATAAGCTGAATCCAGCATAGAAATTGGCCTGCTCATTGGACAACCCCTAATGATAGAGCAAGAGCTTGGTGTGGGGCACCTGACACAAGCTGATCTAAGCCCCCTCAAATGATCATTCTTTAATGAAGACAAACTGGTTCTACTTTCTCTAGTGGAGCTGGGGTTAAAATAATTTCCTAAATTGCATTTATGTGAATGGTTATACCTGGCTCTTTGTGTTGCTCAAATAATAAAGTAAATTATAACATCTCCTACACCCTTAGACATTTTACCATGCATCTAATTGTAAAAAAATAAGTGTTGGGGCTGGAGAGATGGCTCAGCAGTTAGGAACACTGGCTGTTCTTGCAGAAGACCCAGGTTCGAATCCCAGCACCTACATGGCTGCTAACAACTGTCCATAACGCCAGTTCCAGGGGATCCGACAGCCTCTTCTGTCCTCCATGGGCATTGCATGACACAGGTGCAGTTACCTACATGCAGGCAATACACACATACACATAAAATAAAAATAATAAAATACATATTTAAAAAAGTAAGTATTTTCCTACATAGTAAATAATGTAAAGTAAGTTATATCTGAAAACAATGACCACTCCTTCTTGCCATTCATATTCACATTGCTCAGATTTCTTTTCAGGTGTCATTTTGGTGTGGTTAATTTTAGGACTACATGTTATATCTGATTGTTATGTCTCTTAAGGCTCTTGTACCCTCATAGAGAGACCTGTTTCATATTTCACTGGCATGCTGAAGAGATTGGCCTGGATTTGCCTGATTGGTTCATTGTACAATTTAGCTTCCTTCTTTCTCCCAAGGATTTACTATAAACTAGAAGTTACAGTAAAGACTTAATTAGATTCAAGGTAAACATTGTGGCTAGAAATGCATGTTAAGTAATGCTGTATTCTCACTTACCCATCATTAGTGAAGTTAAGATTTACCAGTGTTAGGGTGGCAGTCCTTTATGTTGATTACACAGTTGTGATTTTTCTTTGGGGTATTACTTTGTCACTTAACAATCTCCTGTCTGCCATCAACTATATTCATCTAATATCTTTAGTTCAAGTTTATAATCCTTGCTGATAAAAATAATTCCAGTAGGATTTGAAAAGAAAGGAGGGGCCTTTCTGCTCTATGTTGGCTACCTTCTGTGAAGTAGATTTTCTACTCAAGTGATATTTTTTATTACCACTACTGGAAAGCTATGTGTTCTAATCTTTGTTCTAAAATCAGTAATTTTTTGGATACACCGAATAAGATGGTGACTACGTAATTTATTACCCAAATGAGGATACTCTGAGAAGGAATGGATTGCTGCTATACTGAAAAAGCAAGCATAAAGTAGGTATCTGTAGGGTGGGCAGAGCATTTGGTCACTTTAGCTAAATGAAACCTCAATAGGCCGGTTGACTTCCTTCAGTTGACTGTAGAGATCTCTTTTTATTTAAGGAGAGTAGAACCAAAAGACTCATGCAAGTTGTTTAAGGTGTGGTTTTTAGAATCCTGGTCCCAGTTTCTAATCCTTTTCTGGGTATTGTAAGACTCTTGAGAGACCAGTCCCTGAGTAGTTTGGGCACCTGTCTTAATCTCATTCTGCCAGGAGGTTGAGAATTCAAGTCTTCTTATTCTTCCTGGTCTGCATTCTGGATGCTTTATCTTTTCTTTAACCAGATACCCTTCCCAACAGTGATGGTACCTGTGTATCTTATATTCATTCATTTGCTGCTAGATTCCACCCTTCCCAGTATTATCCCAGCAGATGCTCTGTGAACTGCAGAGATAGCATCAGCAAGGATGCAGCAAGCATCCCTGATACCCCACACTGAACTCATTTTCATAGAATTACTGGGAAGATAGCCTTCCTCTGTGTTCAAGATCCCTGCTCCCTTTTCCTTCTTGTTTGGTGTATGTTCTTCATGGGCCTTGCCTCTCTTCCTTCAGATGAGTCTTCCATCTTCATAAACAAGGCACGCTTAACTGGGATTTTTCTCCCTCCCCTCGCTGGACCTAATTTCTTACATGGTTATCTACCACCCTACAGAAATCTTTCTGAACTTAGGGCCAACTTCTCTGATTGCTGGCCCTCTGTAGTGGCAGTTCCTTTACTTTGAATTAGAGGATATGTAGATCTTAGATTCTAACAGTGTGAATGAGAATCTGTCATGTCCATTTGCTTAGAGGCTGCAGCTTAACCATTATTTCCCCTAGAACCCTACTGATTATGGGCATCTATGCAAGCCCTGTGCCAAAATTACTGAAAACATAGGTCGAGCGTGCTTCCTTTTTTTCTACCTGTGGAACTCCTATTTTCCCTTTAAGAACAATTCAGGAATCACCCTTTCAGAATGCCTGACCCACTACCAAAAATAGTCACTGTGTCACCTGTCTTTAACACAGTGTACACTTTTCTGTTTTGTTTATCAGAACACTCACCTCTGCTCTCAGTATCTAACAGTGACTACTCACAGTTGATGTTCACAACTGATGGTTCTATGAAAATACAGATGGGTAATTTCTGTTCTTTCGGTGACTATCATGTAAGCACTCTCTCTTTTACAATTACTACTCTAGAGTTTTAGAGTTCAGAATTGAAGGCATTTAAAACTTTTTTTTCTGGCTGTATTTAAAGGTTTGAGATTTTAAAAGATCTGCTATCAAAATAAAAAATGGATGCTCTTTCCTG